TCTTCTTTCGTCACACCTGTCTACCTACCGCCCCGTTGCGTACCGATCGCGTGTGAGCCGAGAGAAATGCAATGTTGTGACGCGTGACCGCCGCGACATCGCCGGCCCGACGCAGGGCTCGCGCTGGGCTCCCTCGGGGAATCGTATTCGCTTCCTTTTCTTTTCCTTCCTTACCGCCAACGGGGACACGGCTCCGCTGTCTCCCTCTCGCCGATTCAATAGAGACCGCGGATGAGAAATGCTTAAGTGAACGGTAAATGTCAGCCGAAGCTGCCACGCGATGTGCGCGCACGTATATATAAGTGGGACCCGTACGTGACACCGTACGCCGCGAGGCATTCAGGACACTCTTGGGAAGAAACGGCCGCCGAGCTCCGCTGTCTGCCGGGATTTCGGGCTTTTGTCGGGGTCCACGACGTTCGCCTTGAAATATCACTCTGCGCTACGCGCCTTTTCGAGGACAATGACCCCCGTGCGGCTTGATTCCTTGCGAGACGGACTTCCGTTAATTAACCACCCCCGGTTGCCTACGAATGACGTGCATTTGTTCGCCGTTACGGTTTTCTTTTTGTTCGCGTGTTTCGACGTTGATTGTTGAAACTTTTGGTTTTTGGCTCCCTTTATTTTTCCTTCTCTGTGATGTGTTTGGCCCGGGGTGAACGAGATTTAACCAGAATAGCATCCCCGAACGTGTCAACCGCGTTGGCGACGCTGGCCGTGCCCGCTTTCAATTACATTATGACGTTTACAACGGGTCCGTTATGCGATACTTTCGACAAAACCGAGCAATATACAATGGTAGGACCGTTAGTACCATTAGAACCGGGTCGAATGCGGTTTTTGCGGTACTTCAGTTTCGGGTAGGTGTGTTCGTACCAGGGTTATTTATAGTTGGCAATTTGTCGGAGCATCGTTTGTCCCGTTGCAACTAAATCTATCGTTAAACATATACAATGATACGTGTTCTACTGGAGTTAAGGTTGATTTAAAGTTACGGCATTTTCGATTCGAATCCCTGGAAGTTACTATTTGCTAGGATCTTTATTGAGAACCGTTAGATCTCTCGCCGAAATAATTGGAATCCGTAGACTCATCATTTTTCGTATTCAAATGGAAGAATTTGAACGTTATTGTGACAGTAAATATTTGAATTGAAAAATTTCATTCGAATACTATCGTTCTTTAAATTCAATTCTCGGATAATTTTCCAGTTATATGTACACTGCAGATTTCATCGATTAATAGTATGCTTGAAGCATAATTAAAACATCGATAAATTTGAACTCGTGTTTGAACTTTTGACCTTAATAGAATCCGTAATACAGCATAGAATGTTCTCTTTAATTGCAATATCTGTAAAATAATCCATAACAGTCCATGCTCGTTACTGCTAATTACAATCTATCGATGTGATTTTATCATAATTTTCATCTTATCAGCCCCTTCGCCCTGTTTTTCGCTCACAGTCGCCATTGTCGCTATACGAGCATTATTAATCAGTGTTGCGGCTCCCTACAACACCTTCCTACATGCATAACAGAGGAATTCTCTCTTCTACGTTCTCCCCTTCTTCCGTCATTCTTTTACTCGGTGTCACTTCTCTGCCTCAAGAGCAATCCTCTACTCCCGTCAAGCCTACTCCAATGTGTCCCTGTATACGGCCTAACGTAAGAATGAATGGTTAAAGACATTACGACGCGCAGGTGACTTCCATGCGATTGTTATTTTTTCACTCGTCGCGGCGCCCTCCAGCCTCTGGCTACCAAAAACGCGATTCGACCACTCGATCTTGCTGCACTGCGTTTCATCGGTAATTCTATTCGTTCGAAACTGCACCCTTCTCGTTTTCAGACTCGCGTCGTTCGTACGTAAAACATCCATAGCAGTTATACATCCGTAATTCGTCGCCTCGTTTCCCCGTTTCTCATTATCATTGATCAATTATTCAAAATTTACCACAGAAGTCCCCTCGCATAATTATTCCAGTTAATTATCCCTCTTAATTCAGCCGCGAAAAGTCGACATTCCGCGAGCAAACATAAAGAAGCCAATTATTTTGATTACGCAACTGACGCGGTAGACTGTGACAATTAGCAGACGGTTCTTGATTAGGTCGTTAGGAACATGAACACCTGCGTATTAAGATTCTTCATTGATCTTTCTCTTTGCGCGACATAAAAAGCGGCCTGTGACTTGAATCTAAAAGTTCGTTTTAATTGCTAACAGAGAGTATTAACATCGAACAATTTGAAGATTCATCGTGGATTTTTGATTCTCTTGCGCAACATAAAAGTAACTGTCAAATGATATGTAAATTCAGAAATTTATTTCAATTTCCACATTTTGGAATCGTCGCTCAGAGCTTTCTGCCGGTCCCCGTTAGACCGTATGTGACAATCAAGTCTCGTCCCTCGAAAGGTTCCGAGAATTTTTCAGCTGCGTTCCTCTGTCACCGAAAAATTTTCATATTTCTCGGAGGTGGCTGGTTACGGTCACGTCGCACGAATATACCGTGTCGCTAGCCCAAACTCGCGATATGTTCTCCACTTTTGTGCCCCGTCTCGGCGATTGGCCAGAATGTTTCAAATAGTTCGCGCTTGCACCCTGCTGCGAGGTTCCTGGAGCGCCGATCGCCTCGCGGAATAAAATTTCGCTAATACGGGAGTGCGAAGGAAAAATTTCGAGGTGCTCCTCGTTGAAATGAATTTTCATTCCGGAAACGAGCCGGTGTCAGCTGTTGTTCGTCCAGCGAACAGACATTCTCCCGGCAAATTATTTTATAGCCCGTGCTGCTGCTTCCCTCGGAACATCCCCTGTTTCTTTGCGTACCGGAAACGCTTTTATTAATTTCCATTTTCTTGCAAATAGACTGTGGGCTGTAACATCCCTCGGTGCACGGAATTGCGCGAGACGTCGGGGAAGCTGAATTTTCCGTGAAGTTCAATTCTGGCTTCGTTCGCATTTTTTGGGTTCTGTACGTGCTGTCTTCTATGTTATTGATGGCGGAACGGAAATAGAGGTGATTTTGGAAACATAAGGTGAAAATATAGATTGCAATTTGTGTCAGTGTAGATATATATTAGTTGACCTTCTATGTATATTGTTTTTCGAGTTTTTGAAACCTGGAGTGATATAACAGCTCTTAATTGAATGAATTGAATGAACAAGTTCGAAAATGAACATTTGATACAAAAGTAATTTTGTGCCAGAAACCAGTCTGGTTTCCAAGTTTAATGTTTACTTTCTCCTTCTGTTAGATATTATTCTTTGATATGTTGATATTTCTCGGTTCGACCTCTGTGCAGTAAATTTTAATCACATAGAAGACGTCATATTTTCACCTCTCGTACGACATACATCAGGCACAACACTCAGAAAATCTGAAAATCTATAAGTTTGTGAAAATATTGATACCTTTATGTTGTCTCCGTTGTCAAAACAAAGCGTCCCCGTGACGAACAACAAAATATCGAGGTTGAAAAACAGGAATCGACGAAGCGCCAAGAGAAGGAACAGTTTTTCGTGAATTCGGCCGGGGTCGATATCTTGTTATCGAAAAGCACTAGTCATCCTGATAAAACGATACCGCGGATATCGAGATAAATTACGAAACAACGTCGCCATTGCGACCGGTATGATATTCGCAGGAATATACGACGGCGCGTTCCGTTTCACCCTCGTCGCGACAAGGACGCAGAAATCTCTGGGAAATCTTCGCGTCGCCAACAGATCTATACCGGAAAATATACGACATTTCGGGTTTGCTCATTCCTATCCTTCCCTTTACCCAGCTATTTACCACATATTTCTTTCATACGTTCCATTCACGTGCCGCCATTTGCTTTCCTTTTTTCACTCATGCGTTACCAGTCAAATTTTGGAATCTCTCATCCAACGAGAACACAATCAAAATGTTTTTAACGGAAAATATGGACGTTTGAATGTTTAATCTGTAGCGTATACAAATTTCCAAACAATTCGCAGATATACTAGTTCATAGAATGTAATGCGTTCTTAATGCATTTTTAGATGTAAAGTGTTCATTTGTATATTCTTTCCTACGCGTTCCGACAGAAGAACTTCCGTTTAATACGCGCATGGCGTCGACGTACGAATTTTCTAGGTGCACATACGTATACACGGGGTGGACCGAGAAAAATGTAAATCGAACTGGCGATTTACCGCGAGGGTCGTTGAGAGACGCGGAAGAAAAATGAGCTCGACGGGACGGAAGAGACCTGCTGGAAAATTCACTTTTCTTTTAACACGCTCATATATCCCCGTCCCCCCGTCGCGGCCTCGCCGCACCCCTATACCCCGCACCCTTGTCCCCGTTTTATACTTTCACAAAACGTCGGACTCGGTAAACCCGCTTAATGACCGAGCGTTTGCCGATTCAATACTTTCTTCCATGTTTGAAGATCTCGTTTCCTTAAAACGTTCTCATCTGTGTGTACACTTCGCGTGAATAGGTCCTTTCGATCCGTACGGGGCGAAAGGCGAGCGAAAGGAAAAGAAAAAAAAGAGGGATCCAACTTTTCCGCGATTTTAATGTCCTTTCTGTGTATTCTGCTGTTCGAAACTAGGACAATTTTTGTCGATAAAGTGGTACACGCCGAATCACACGACAGCGGCGCGCGAAAAAGGTAGAATCAACGAGGGCAGGTCAAAAAGTTTGCGGAACGAAGGTGACGAAGAGGATCGTGAACAATTTTCACGCGTATCTCTGCCTTCATTGTACCCTTATCGGTATATTTATCGGTACAATTAAGTTGCTAGGTCTTGATCGAACGGCTTACAGTTATTGTCAAATAATCAATTGAATTTCGCGGCTGTAAGTTCTCTACAGGACAAAGAAAAGTTCCTTGAAGCGTTCAAGAAGAAACGCCAGCGATTCCTGGTGTCTATTGGCCCGGAGAAATCATGGCTCACAAGTGGCGCTAGTTTCTCCCAGCAAGGCAGAGATTCTTGTCGAAGCAACCTCGGTGAAAATTGTGAAAAAACTGGAGCAATTAGTATTGGAAGATGCTCGTTCCAAGAAGAAACGAGCAGTGGAAATGGTTGGTCTATTACCCACAACTATTTCCAACGTTCTCCGTTTAACGTTCGAAGCAAGAATCAATGCAGTAGCGTAAAAAAGATAACTGTACAGATCGTGGCAATCATTTTCTGACGATTGTTTTTCGTTGATTGAAAACATGTACGTGGGCGTCGGAACAAAAGAAGAGTGTTGCTGCTGGATCAGTTAAAGATGGTGTAAAAGGTAGAAGAACAAGAAAGTGGAGCAACGCAGTGTCCCTTTTGCATGTTAACGCGCTCGTGCACAAGAGCAATGTTGCTGCCCTTGACAAGCGTCGCAAACGCTCAGCCACCCTCCGCAGATCTCACACCAGAATACTGTCTCTTTTTAAATATGAAAAGGGGTCTTTGACAGATGGAATTCAAGGATGATGAAGAAATCAGTTTCGCGAGTGTGGCTCATTTTGAGAATGAAATAAGAAACTTATTTTAAAGCATAAACGAATTAATTTGAAGGTCAGGAAAATATTTTGAAATTAGAGAGAAGGGCGTGCATTGCAAAGAGAAAGTATTAACACAGGTGTCTGTTTGAATTCTTTTTTCCCCCTTCGTTCCGTCAACTTGACCTATCCCCGTAGATATTGGGTAACTTCGCAGACGAGGTCAGTAAATTCCTGGCGAAGACACCGATAGTGAAATTCGAGATGTAGCGGAACAAGAACGCGCCGCGAATCCGTGTAACAGGGGCGGCCGTGATCCCGTGGAAACGGCCGGAGTCCCCGCGGAACAATAAAGAGCGGCTTTTCATTTTGCACTTTTTAGGGCGAGCGTACAAAGCGGGAAGAGATCGCGCCGGACTAATTCGCGATTCTTGTTTCACGGCGGAACGGAGCAACAATGAAAATCCGCGCGGCGATATGTTCGACGCTGGCCGAGAACGTTTGTCGTTGACGCGTGTTTTCGGGTTGTCGGATCATCCATCAAATTCTTTTCTTCCCTTTCCCACAGAGCGGCCGCCAGATCAGTGAAGTTCGACGTGGGTTTGATAGAAACGGGGGAAGGTTCTCGGATTTTTTCATTCGAGCGATAAATATCTGGTCGAATTGGTCGATCGATGTCGCAGTAAGACGCGATGGACATTTTGTCGTGGAAGAAGAGCCTTCGGAAGAGAAGTGTCGCTTTCTTGAAGATGCTGAAGAGAGTCGGTCGTGCATTCGGTTCTCGTGATCAGAAGTTTCCCGTGTTGCTCGTCGGCGAACAAGTTAAAGATGCACCCGAGGAGACGTCGATTTCCCTCGAAAGTACGTGGAACGTTCTCGAGGATCATTCCGCATCAGAATTCAGTGGGGGAACCGCGTTCGAATCACGTGCCGAAAAAGCAGAAGAAATTTTCCGGGGAGGAATTCCGCTGTGAACGTTCCCGCTCGTTAGTACGGTAATCTCGAAGGAAACAGTGACGAATGGAAGGCGCGAAGCTGTCCGCGGTTTTTACTGTTCGGAGAACATTGTTTTTCTTCTTAATGGAATCGCACGGAATTCCGAGAGGGTGAGTTCTCGGAAACCGGACGATGCTGGGACACGGAATTCACAGGCGCGGAATGAGCGCGGATCGTGCCAGGTGAGCCATCTGAACGTATTTACTGAATTACCTTTAGTTACTCCTTTTAATTAAACCGATCACGTTGGTTTCTTATTTCCGTGAGTCCTTGCTTCGCGAAACAGAAATAAACACAGCCGATAATTTCACTCCTGATACCATCACAACGCTCGATAACGATACTTCGTAGTCTTTTATCGAATAATTCGAATTTCTAAGATAATCCATCGTTTACGAGAGGCAAATGAAAAACATTACACGATACTGGACATATTTACTATACTTGAAATATTCTTATTTTAATCAAAAGTATCAGAAACAAATGACAAACCATGCAGATAAGTTATTGGCAGGAACTCCCGACAGCGGAAAAAGTGTAAAGCATCCGATTCAAAGCAGAGGGACGAAACAATGCTTTATCGTATAAACGGAATAATAAGTATCGTTTCTCCTAATTTCCCAATAAATGTTCGACGAGTATTTCCACTGACATTTTCATTTACCTTTCGTAATCAGCCGATCACTCTTGCCTGATCCAGCCGCGGGCCCGATAACGGAAATGAAGAGACATCAAAGGATATTAGAAATGAGATTTCAGTGCGGACGGAAAGCTCGAAAACACAATAAGTCTCGGGGTTAGGCGATTCAAAAAGAAAAAAGTAGGAAAACTTGTTTTGGCTCGGGGCAATTTTCTTCGAAGTAAAAAAGGAGCGACGAGCCGCCTTGACCTCGTTCCACTTCTTCTTCTCTCTCTTTCTCTCTCTTGCTCGGCCCGTGTGTGTGTGTCTTTTTTTTTATAACATGTTACACAGCTTGTTTGCTAGACAGAGTCACCTCGGAAGGGCGGAAGCTTCCCTCACTTTGCGCGCCTCTTCTTTACGCGTTCTTTGCCAAAAGCCTCGATGACCTCTGGAGGACGACGACCCAGTTGTCTATTAACTAGCCGGATTTATTCCGGACCCCCCACCCCCACCC